CTGGGGGCTCAGTTGGTTAAGTGTTCAACTCTTGGTTTCAGCTCAGGCCATGATCTCAGGATCGTGAGACTGAGCCCCATATCAGGCTCATGCTCAGCATGAAGTCTGCTTGAGAGTCTTTCCCTCTCCTTCTCCTTCCCCCTCTGTTCTTCCCCCACTCACGCTCTCTCTCAAATAAATAAATAAATAAATAAATAAATAAATAAAATCTTTAAAAGAAACAATTTTCACCAGTTATGCCTGTCTCACTGGGGAGCATTTCCACAGAGCTCTTCTGCCATCATTTTGGAAGTAGCCACCCTTCCTGCTCTTTTTTCTGCTAAACTAAGCTTCTAGAATTTGTATCTCAGGTTGCTTCAAGCCAACATTATGCTCCTGGAGTGAGCCTTGCAAGGAACTGAGGGAGAGACACACAGAGCTGGGGTGACATCATGGGAGTCCCTGGATCAGCCCTACACTTGGAATCATCTGGACTTCACGGTCAGAAAAGCCAAAAAATTTCCTTCTTTCCTTAGCTAGTTAGAGTTGAGGTTTTTTTTTTTTTAAGATTTTATTTATTTATTTGAGACAGAGAGAATGAGAGAGAACACATGAGAGAGAGAAGGGTCAGAGGGAGAAGCAGACTCCCTGCCGAGCAGGGAGCCCGATGCGGGACTCGATCCCAGGACTCCAGGATCATGACCTGAGCCGAAGGCAGTCGCCCAACCAACTGAGCCACCCAGGCGCCCCTAGAGTTGAGTTTTTTACATGTAACTAAGAGTTGTAACTAATATCCTGAATGTCAAACCTTTAATAGTGTGGGAGTAAATGATAAGGATTATGGAAAGCTTGTTCAACAAAACTGGTATCTAGGGTAATTTGAGCTTTTTGATAGCTCATTTTGTCCCAATAATTTATGGTCTCTTGATGCTTAATGAAATACAGAGACATCACTTATGGTGATTCTAATAGATGCTCCTCTTAATAAGGATTTTTAATATGTTCATATACATCTGTCAATAGTTGTTGCCATCCAAAGGGTTGGTTCTAAGGAAGACTCAATGTTGACTGCTAATGCTGAGTTATAATATTAATAATAGTACAGAGGCCTGACCTTAATTATAGAAAGTTCTTATAAGTTAGGTAACTTCTCTTTTCCATTAGCCTGCAGCTGACTCATTAGAATATCTCTTGTAAGCATATAGTTTTCCAAATATTGGAACTAGTTACAAACCTCTTTAACAAACTACAAGTGGAAAAAGGGAAGATTAAATAGTTACTATTTTTTTTAATATTTATTTTATTTATTGGAGGGGAGGGGCAGAGGTTGAAGGAGAGATAGTCCCACACTGAGTGCAGAGCCCGATGTGGGGCTCGATCTCACGACCCTGAGATCACCACCTGAGCTGAAGCCAAGAGTTAGCACTTAACTGACTGTGCCACCCAGGCACCCCTATATATTGTTATTCTTGATGTGATGTAGAAAATCTAGGTAATCTAAGATTTTTATTTATTTGGCATGATACTCCTTTGGAATATCAAAGAATGTATTGAGTCTGTTAGAAATATAGATATATCCAGAGAATTCAGGAAGAATGTATAGGTCAAGGCTGTAAGCAATTTTATCCTACTTCTCATGACAATATTCTTCACTAACTCCTTCCTCTGAGATAGATGCTTATGGCAAGTGTTGGGAGCAGGAAAGACATCAGACATTTTTATAATCTTGGAATTTATGGGGGGATGGATTAGTCTGGTGATGGGTATTAAAGAGGGCATGTACTGCATGGAGCCCTGGGTGTTATGCACAAACAATGAATCATGGAACACTACATCAAAAACTAATGCTGTAATGTATGGTGATTAACATAACATAATAAAATAAAAAAAACAAAGAAAAAAGAAACAAAAAACAAACAAACAAAAAATTGGTTTAAAAAGGCCTTTCTCCCTGGATGAGACTTACAGAGCACCTTAACCTAATGTGTATTTCCACATACTGGGTGCTGCTTGCCAATAAAGTCTCTGAAGATTCTGCAATTCAGTGATCTCTGTCATGTTTGGAATATCTCTAGGATCCCCAGAAAACTACAATTAGCGGTTTTTGGAATCAAGGAGGCAGAGTGTGTAACAAAAATGTATAGATCCATAAAAAAATCTCGCTAATTCCAATTAAATGGAAGAGAGTTGATGTGAATTCATGACAATTATTTTTACAATAGTGAAAGCTTTACGGCTGTTACTAAAGAAAAAGAGAAAAGTACTCTAGGATAAATTTTAATGAACAGATTTGATTTATTTGTAATTGGCAGATTGTTTTAAATACTTTAAGCTTCTAAGTTACCTGAGAGCAGTATGCATCTTAGAGAGCTTACAAGCCACCTGCAGTTTACTTTGCACTAATAATGGTCCTGCTCTTTGGAACATTATTCACAGAAATAGAAAATTAAATGTCCACTGGTTTCTAGGACTTCATAATTCATGAATTGGTAGAATCTGAGTTCCACTAATTGTACTGGAGAATCTAATAAGCTTGAGTTGCAGACTTGCACTCTGATCTTATTATGATAGTAAAATCTTATGTGAGAAGGGTTTTTTGTTTGTTTTTTTTTCTACAGGCTTGGGGTAGATGATACCTTCTCAGAATATGGGTGAGATTATGGTTCTCAATCGATTGACCTACCACTTGCTAGAATGTTTGCATTTTGGGATCTCCATCTTCACTCTGCTGCCTCAGCAATACATTTGATTTGGTTTTACAGAGATGAATTTCAAGGAAAACATCACCTAGACTTTATTTCAAATTACTCTGAGGATTAATACATTCTACTGATGCCCACAATTGCTGTGTTCATAATCTGCTATTATGATATATGACTCGGAGAAGGTAAATGTCCTGTCAACCACAATCTCTCTTTATTATTTTTAAGGAGGGCTAGTTTCCATTATCAAAAGCAAATAAGGAATGCCAGCACTCATCTGTCATTCAAAATGGAACGCTTACTTAGCTGGGAATGAATGAAAACCATCACGTGGAAGGTTTGTTTTTTTAATAGTGGTGATAAAGTCACAACTCAAGGTCAGGGGAAAATTCAAATGCGGTTCCACTGGGTTGCTTATATTTTTTGCATAGGTTGGAAAGACAATTTTCCAATAGTAACTTTGGTTTTTGAATACATTTCCCCCCCTAAAACAGAGACAGGAAGAAGAAACCTGACATTTTTTCTCATCTTCTGAAATGGTAATTAGTTTTTATATCTTCCACCTACAGATTTTAGTTCCAGTTTGAGGTAGTCTGTCCTTACCCACACTTTTATGCAATGAATCCCATCTCAGATGATGGTCTGTGGCGTGTGACAAACAGGTCATTTAACGAGTGAGTAAACCTGTGCAGATAGGTACCAAGAGTACAGTCAGGCTGAGCTGTCTTCTCATAGGTTCTGGTTAGGAAATGTTAAAAGGGCCACTTGCCATTTAGGGTTTGATGGTAAGACTTCTCTACATGGCCATCTCCCAGGCACCTCAAAATCAAAATATGACCCAAGTTAAGCACATCTCATCCCATGAAAACTGGTCATCCTCCTGTCTTTTCCATCTCTCCAAAGACCACCATCCATTGAGTATGATGAACCATAACAAACTGCCTTTTTTCATAGCTCACAATAGCTGATTATTGGCAATTTCAAACAGATTAGCCTTATTGGTTGTTCAGTTCAGAGACCTGGGTGAAATCCTTCTCACCTCACTCCCCTTCAACTCTTACAAGCTAGTCGTGAGGACTGGTAAATTCTCTTTCTCAGTCAGGTTCTGAATCCATTTTTAAGGCATTCAACATAGCTCAAATCATCACTAATTGGCCTAGTGATTCCACTGTCCACACTGCAATGAACTAGGATGTACTCTTTAAAACACAAGCCAGATCAGCCCACTTGCATAATAGAAAGCAGTCAATGGCTTCTCAAAGTCCTTAACACAAAGACCAGACAATCCAACCCCTGCGGACCTCGTTAATCCCACGTCATCCTATTTTCTGGTTACTCTACCTTCTTTCATTTTCTGAAGCATGCTCCTTTCCAACTCAGGCCTTTGAACATATTGTTCCATCTGCTTGGTACCCTCTTCTCTCTCATTACCAACCAGGCCCTTATCACTCAGTGATCCCTGCTGCTTCTGTGTTCATGCCTCAGCATAAATGCCATGTCCCAAAAGATCCTTCTATGACCTCTCACTGACCAGTATGGAACCCCAAATTACATATATCCATGAGACTTCAACACAGATCATACTTCCAATTACCTGTTCAATGCTAGGCTCAAACTCTAAAGGAGCAAGGCTGTGGCTGACTCATTTGCCGCCATATTGCTATCACTAACCCAGGGCCTAGAACCTGATGGGCCCTGGGTAAACATTTGCTGAAGGTACAGATCACTCACAAATGTCACGACTGCAATTGACAAGTCAAAGCTGCCATCTTTGCTCCATGATATTCCAGTTTTGATATATCTTCAGTGATTTTTCTATTTAGGATTTTTAAAAAGGTAACAAATATATTTAACTAAAAATTTCAAAACTGAGAGGCTGAACTGGAACTCTGGACCTCTTTTGAATTATTCCCTAGCATCTGGCAATGGTTATGGTTATAAGAGAAGTAGTAATAATCAAAGCTAACATTTATTGAGGGCAAACTATGTGCCAAGCTTCTGGAGGAACATGAGGCGTAGTGAAGGTGGGGGGATTTACTGAGGTTCACTCAGCTAGTAAAGGTAGAACCAAAATCACAAAGACCCATAATCCAAGACATGCTTTGGATGCTCTCAGTCCCTCAATCTTTGGGACAGATAACTTCTTGAACACAAGGATCCTCTATACCTGGAAGACTAAGAGAATCAATTACAGAATCCAAGAGAAACACATTCTCAGCTCTAAGTAAAATGCCTTTAAACACACACCAGTTAATTTCACCATGTTTCCAAGAACAATTCTCTCCCGAGCAGCATCTTATTAAAAGCTCGTGTTCCTACCGGAAGAAAGAGTCTCTGAGCAGCACAGGGTTTGAATAATTTCTTCCATTCCTGAGGGTTTCCAACCGAAAACGTGATGGGGTAGATTCTGTGCTCAAACTTCTTTGTATATGAGTCAGGCCACTGTCGTAACTGAAGAACAAGGAAGACAAGGGGAGGGTGATTAGGCCCCAGAGAAATGGAAAACACCTGAAGCTCCTGGATGTTCAAATGGAAATTATTCAGGCAACTTACATAGAAAGTCTAACTTCACCACCATGATTAATGTTCAATGAATGAAAGACTATGGCTAGGATGAAAAATAAATAACATCTAGAGTTGTCAAGCATGTTAGGAGACTGGCACATAAACACTACAAGGGGAGTACAAATTTGAATAAACTTCCAAGAGGGCAATTTGGAAATTGGGAACAACCAACCCCAAAAGATAAAGGCACAAGACTTTCAACACAGCCTTGTTTGTAATTTAAAAAAAAAAAAAACCCTTGAGAACAAACCAAATGCTCAATAATTAGGAATTGAGAAAATTAATTATGATAGAACTATACAACAGACTATTGTAACAGTTAAACTAAAGTTAGATCTATATGTGCTGACAAGGAAAAATATTATAAATAACATTTTATTATAAAATTTATATAATTTTAAATAAATAAATTTATTATAAAATTTATTATAAATGACAATGTTTATTATTAAAAATAAAAAGCAAAATGCAAAAAAAATTATGTTTCTGTCTTAAAGGGAAAATATATGCATGTATATTTTATATGGAGAGAAAAATCTGGACAGATAGACACTAAACTTTTTTTTTTTAAAGATTTTATTTATTTATTTGACAGAGAGAGAGAGCACAAGTATGGGGAGCGACAGGCAGAGGGAGAGGGAGAAGCAGACTCCCTGCTGAGCAGGGAGCCCAACGTGGGGCTCAATCCCAGGACCCTGAGACCATGACCCAAGCTGAAGGCAGACGCTTAACCAACTGAGCCACCCAGGCGTCCCCGACACTAAACTGTTAAAAGTGGACACCTGTGGAGGTGGTGGTGGTGGTGGTTTCATTTTCTAAGTTTCTATTTCTGTGTTCTTTTTTTTTTTTTAAAGATTTTATTTATTTGACAGAGAGAGACACAGCGAGAGAGGGAACACAAGCAGGGGGAGTGGGAGAGGAGAAGCAGGCTTCCTGCTGAGCAGGGAGCCCGATGCGGGGCTCAATCCCAGGACCTGAGCTGAAGGCAAACGCTTAACGACTGAGCCACCCAGGCGCCCTTCTGTGTTCTTTAGAACTCTTCCAGTGAGTATATATTATTTTCTTTGCATATGTTAATATTATAACAAAATTAATTAATGGGCTTTATTTTTTAGAGCAGTTGTATGTTTACAGGAAAATTGAGCAGGAAGCACAGAGTTCCCATCTACCCTTCCCCCGTTCTCTCCCCCCACCCGCACACTTTCCCATTACCTATATCTTGCATTAGTGTGGTATGTCTGTTACAACTGATGAACCAATATCAATACGTTAGTAAGTAAAGTCCATAGCTTACCTTAGGGTTCACTCTTTGTGTTGTACATTCTATGGACTCTGACAGGTGCATAATGTCAGGTATCTACCATTACAGAATAGTTTCAGCACCCTAAAAATCTCCTCTGTTCCACCTATTCACCCCTTCCTCCTTCCCCTCCCACTGAATTCCTACAACCACTAATTATTTTATTATCTCTTAGTTTTGCCTTTTCCAGAATGTGATAGAGTGGAAATCGTATGGTATATAGCCTGTTCAGATTGTCTTCTTGTACATAGCAATATGCACTGAAGGTTCCTTCATGTCTTTTGGTGGATGGGTACCTTATTTATTTTTTTATCACCGAATAATATTCCATTGTATGGATATACAACGGTTTGTTTATACATTTACCCATAGAAGCGTATCTTAGCTTTCTAAGAAAGTGTCAAAACGCTCTCCAAAGTGGCTGTACCATCTTGCATTCCCACCAGCAATGAGTGAGATGTTCTGTTGCTGCACATCATTGGCAGCATTTTTGTATTGTCAGTGTTGTGGGTTTTAGCCATTCTAATAGGTGTGTGGTGGTATCTCATTGTTTTCCTTTGCAGTTCCCCAATGACGTATGCAGAGATGTTGAGCCTCCTTTCCTATGCTTATCTGCCATCTGTGTATCTTCTTAAGTTTTTGAGTTAATGTTTCCCTATTGACACAATAGTTCTACTTCTAAGAAAAAATTCCCAAAGTCCATTCATATTTATGACAAGGTAGTTTATCATAATGTTGTTGGTAACAGAGCAAAGTTGGAAACAACCTAAATAGCAGTTTGGTTAAATAAGCTCCGGGGTATGTCTACATAAGAGAATATCATGCAGGAACTAGCAACAACATCTTACAGTAAGGGTTTGCAAACCGTTGGTAGGACAAGGACCAAATCCAGCTGGCTACAGAAAGCACACAAGCCAAGAATGATTAGACACTTTTAAATAGCTGAAAAAAGTAAAAACAAGAGTAATATTTTGTGACATGTGGGAGTCACATGAGATTTGAATTTTAGTGTCCATAAATAAAAGTTTTATCGGAACACTGTCACATCTAATTGTGTAGATATTTCTATGGCAGCTTTTACACTGAATGTAAGAGTTGAACAGCTACAAGACCACACAGCCTGCGAAGCCTAAAAAAGCTATTGTCTGGTCTTTTACAGAAAAAGCTGGACAACCCCAGTTTTAGAAGAAATTCAGTAATACAAAACTCAGTGATATAAAAGGGAACATAGAAGATGATCCCATTTCTGATGTTGATATGAAAAGAAAAGGAATATAAGTAAATCTACCAAGATTGCTCTTCCTGACCATTAGGATGGTTGATTTGTTTAATTTATAATCTTTTGACTTTTTTTTTTTACAATGTACATATATTGCTTATACAGTCACATAAAAATGTTTGAAGAAACATACCACTGATCATGCTTTAAATTTACAACTTTGAGATGGATATATGAGAGAGAAATCTCAGAAGGAGAAAGAGGAGGAGTGACAAAGTATTTGATAAGTGGTTTCTGAGGGCCACTGACCAATCAGAACCCATGCCAGGCAAAAACACCAGCATACTGCACTGACTCATCAGAACTGGCTCTGGCCATAAACACTCAGTGCGACAACACTGACCCATCAGAATGGACACCAGGGACAGATGCTGAGTCCAACTGTGCCTTGCCACATCAGCCCAAAATCAGCCCTGGAAAGAGAATGGGAAGGTCCCTTGGTCTGTTGGTTTCCTTGACTCTTTGATCTTCTAGAAGGGTTTATCTACCTTTGCCAATCTGTGTCTTTTTAACTGGAATGTTCAGTCCATTTACATTTATTTCAATGCATGTATTTGAATAGTATACCAGCTCCAGGCAGTGGAAGTTCTCGACACCTCTTCCTGTGGCAGAGGACACACACACACACACACACATACACACTCACACAGGGTGTTGCCATCCTCCTGGACCCACCCATCACCAGAATGGATTGGTGGTTATCCCCGCCCCCTTCAGGGTCCCAGTTTTTCCTGATAGATGCGCCAAACCTAAAGCACATGTCTGATTCCCGAGCTGCCAGGAGCGGCTAGGAAATCAACCAGCTGGCATTTTCAGCTCCTATATTGAGAGATGACAAAAATAAATGAGACTCCAAAATATTAAATATCTACATTATACTTGGTAAATAGCTCCAGACATATTGTACTTATATGGTTTAAAAATTTAAAAAAAAAATTCTACTTCAATAGAGTAGAATTCACCCATAAAGCAGTTTCCAGAGGAATCATGAGGTCAACTGGCACATTGTTTTGTTTTTATCCTGAGATATGTGGCCTTGAGCTTCACAGGAAGTTATCACAAGAAACTGGATATTCTGGGGCACCTGGGTGGCTCAGTTGGTTAAGCATCTGCCTTCAGCTCAGGTCTTGATCCCAGGGTCCTGGGATCGAGCCCCACATCAGGCTCCCTGCTCCGCGGGAAGCCTGCTTCTCCCTCTCCCACTCCCCCTGCTTGTGTTCCCTCTCTCGCTGTGTCTCTCTCTGTCAAATAAATAAATAAAATCTTAAAAAAAAAAAAAAAAAAGAAACTGGATATTCCCACAATGCCTCAGTGTTGGAAGTGAGACCCTCGTGAAGGATGGCCGACCCTGCATCTCCATACCAGCATCTCCTGGGGTTACACACAAACCTGCTGCTGCCACCCTACTACTTGAGGGCTAACAAGGTACAGGAGATGTTCCAAAGAATCTCTGTGGAATCAAAGAATAAAGAGATCACGTGATTCAGCCTCACAAGTCTGCTCTGCAATAACAGAGCAAGGATCATCTGCCCTTCCACTGAAACGGTTGAGACGGAGGAAAGCTCTGTGACTTCCATAAGAGGCAAGGTTTTATATCTAAACTTTACACTTATAATCCCTGCACGGAAAAGAAAGGGATGAGGTCAGATGCCCTGCCTGTCTTTTAACACCCTATTACAGTTTCCTTTGTTAGTTGAGCTCCACTGGTCTAACAAAGACCCGAGGAAAGGAGCCATCACAGGGATAAAGTCACCAGAGCAATTCAAATGATTTTTCAAATTCAATGATTTTCCCACACAATTTAGTTCCCAACTTATAATGTACCAATTACCACGGCTCACAGAAAATTACTCCCAAACTTAGTGTTAAAATGACCATCTAGGGGCGCCTGGGTGGCTCAGTCGTTAAGCATCTGCCTTCAGCTCAGGTCATGATCCCAGGGTCCTGGGATCGAGCCCCGCATCGGGCTCCCTGCTCCACGGGAAGCCTGCTTCTCCCTCTCCCACTCCCGCTACTTGTGTTCCCTCTCTCGCTGTGTCTCTCTCTGTCAAATAAATAAATAAAATCTGAAAGAAAAAAAAAACATCTATAATGCTCACAGATTCCATGGATCAGGAATTCGGACAAGGCACAGAAGGGGCGGCTTACACTGTTGCATGATGTCTGGGGCCTCAGCGAGAAGCTTTGAAGGCTGGAGGCTGGAATCATCTGAATGCTAGTCCATTCACACATCTGGCAATTGAGGCCAGCTATGGGCTGGGGACCTCAGCTCTTCTCTGAGTGGGTCTCTCCACACAATCTCTCCATATGGGCTAGTGTGGGCTTCCTCACCACATGCTGGCCAGGTTCCTGGGGCAGGCATCCCAAGAAAGCCGGGCAGAAGCTATATTCTTTCTATGCCCTAGCCTCAAATGTCACGTGAACATTACATGTAGCATACTCTATTTTGTACATGCATACATATGATGTATATAGATGCATATATATTAGCTATTACCTTTTAACAAGTTATCCCCAAAACTCAGTGGCTCAAAACCACAAAAACGTATTCTCTCATGTAGTTTCTTAGGGTCAAAAATCTGCAAGCTGGGTTGTTCTGGCTCAGGGCCTCTCACAAGGGTATAGTCCAACTACTGGCTGGGGCTACAGTCATCTGAAGGCTTGGTGGGGCGGGAGGTTCTGTCTCCGAGCTCCCTCACTTGAGTGTCACAAGAAGCCCCGATTCCTCACCACGTAGATTTCTCCGAGGGCTGCTCTGACATGAAAGTGGCTTATCCCCCAGCAGGTGATCCAGGCAAGAAAGTGAGTGCAGACAAGATAGGAAGCATGGTGCCTTTTTAAACGGGATCTCAGAACTGACACAGCATCGCATCTTCCCTATGCTGTTGGTCACACAGGCCAACACTTGGGGCAGCGAAGGAGGGAAGTAAGTAGGGTGTGAATAACAGAAGGTGGGGCCACACCTTCTTTCCCCTCACCTTCTTTAAGTTCAGTTCTATTTTGTTCTGCTCCATCCTCATGTCCCAGCCTCTAGCACCCAGTGGGTACTCAATAAATACTTGTTAGATGGATACTGTGCAACACAGTGCTAGAATTTGTCTACAGCCAGTTTCCTCCCTTTTTGCACACCGAGCACTTCCCAGCCCTTTGCCGTTGGGTGAGCCTTGTGACTGCTTCTGGACAGCTCAATGTGAGTGGAAAAGACTCATGTCACTGTCGAGCGAAGGGAGTGAAATGCACAGTCATGATCCCTTGTCTCTCTCTTTCCTGCATGGCATCCCAAGAACTTTAGAGGCCAAGTGTTCCAGCAGGTGCAACTCAAAGCATGAATAGTCTTGGGGTGCCTGGCTGGCTGGACCAAAAGAGCATGTAACTCTTGACCTCAGGGTCTTGAGCTCAAACCCCATGTTGGGTGCAGAGATTACCAAAAACAATAAATAAACTTAAAAAAAAAAAAAGCGTGAATAGTCTTTGTCATCTTCAGTCCCAGACCTAAGTGCCTGTGTGAGACAAGCAGTAGGCACGTGCAAAGTCTCTGAGCTTTTTTGGAGGTGTTAAGGCAGCCTGACCTAGCCTATCCTGATTCCAGATACCTTAGCTCTTTTATCAGTGTTGCTTGCTTCAGGTTACAGACAGGGAAACTGAAGCTCTGAGAGGCCACAAGGTTTGCCTGAGATCCAGCAGCAAGCATACGGGGGAGCAGATGAGTCTTCTACCTACTAGTTGGACAGGTAGTATGTACACTGGTTGAGCTCATGGAGGTTTGAGGCTGTGACCTTGAACCGACACCTGATGAGCAAATCGCTAAAACTCTTTGCAAAAGAGGGACATGATTGCTGCCTTCGGGTGGGGGTTAAGGAGGGGTAAGTCATAAATCAGAAGCCCTTGATCAATGGTAATTGTCATCATCATCCCCTTTCACCACAGCTCAGGAACAACAAACCATGCGTGTGCCAATCTCTTCCCTTTCCCTTGACTCGGATATTTTTTCAAGGCATTTTCCAATCAATTTCAAAGCTTTTAGACAAGCTGGCCTCTCCTGGTGACGAAGTCATGGGGATATTTTTCTTTAGGAAACATAACCCGTTTTCTAGCTTTCTGTTAGCAACCTTTCTCTGCCCAATAGGCTTCTTTGGCCTTTCTCATTAGTGTAGCCAGCCTGGGGCCAGGAGGCGGTCTGCTGACCCAAGTCCGTGGATACAAAACGAACCACTTCTTGCTCTACCAGCACGCAAGGCCCTACCACAAGAGCAAATGTCCAAGACAAAGCAAAGCTTGGTCTGCAAAGGCACACTCGTACCCAGACTGGAGAGAAGAGGTACTTCCAAAGCTCTCCTCCTGTACTGACAAAAAAATCAGTACTTGTTCCTCAGTATAGGAATAGTCAACTCAACAGGGATCCAGACACATAATAAAATACTATACAGTCACCAGAAAAGACGAGGTAAGAATGTCTGAGTCCTGACCTGGAACGATGCTGACAATATGGTTTTAAGGGAGGAAAAGCAAGTCCCAGTACGACACATAGAGAATAAACTTGATTTTATAAAAGAAATACAGGGGCACCTGGGTGGCTCAGCCAGTTAAGTGTCTGCCTTCGGCTCGGGTCATGATCCTGGGGTCCTGGGATGGAGCCCCATGTGGGGCTCTCTGCTCAGCTGGGAGCCTTCTTCTCCCTCTCCTTCGGCTCCTACACCCTGCTTGTGCTCTCACTCTCTCAAATAAATTTTTAAAAAATCTTTAAAAGAAATACATGTTAGGGCGCCTGGGTGGCTCAGCTGGTTAAGCAACTGCCTTCGGCTCAGGTCATGATCCTGGAGTCCCGGGATAGAGTCCCGCATCGGGCTCCCTGCTCAGCGGGGAGTCTGCTTCTCCCTCTGACCCTCCCCCCTCTCATGCTCTCTCTATCTCATTCTCTCTCTCAAATAAATAAATAAAATCTTAAAAAAAAAAAAAGAAATACATGTTAATCTGGGCACGTACAACTGTATGTGCTATAGAGGTATATATTTATACATACATACAAATATACATTTACACACATATACATACATCCACACAGAAAAACACACACACAAACACACCTGTATGTGAAAAAAATATGAAAGAGTAACTCAAAATTGCTAACTCTGATAGTTTCTTGTGTGGGACTGAGGGCACCAAGGACTCCTCCCTTTTAATGTATGAAATCTGTATCATTTGAATTTATTTTAATGAACATTTATTACTTGTCATTCAAAAAACCTATATAAAGAGAATCTGTAGACAGCTACCTGGCGCCTACATGAGAGCCATGTAATCACACCAGAGGGCTCAAGCCCCGGGTCAAGTGCTTCCAGTGTATCATCTCATAGAACCCTTATACTATCTCTGTAAGGTAGGTGTAAGTATCCCTAAATGACCCATGAGAACAGCAAGGCTCAGAGTCAAGCACATGGTCACACGGCAGAGTCCGCCGCGAAAAGTAGTGAATCACATTAGCGAAGGGGATACGCATCTCCCACAATGCACTCCATAACTGTGGCATAATGTCCGCGCACTCCATAACTGTGGCACCACCATTTCCACAAATTCACCTGCTTATCAAACTCAGGCTTCAGAGAGTCTTCCGTGAAGATGTGGAATTGGATCTTCCTGTGGCTAAAGAGTATGGCGGATTTGAGCATGACCAGGGTCTCCTCCAGCCGATTGCCGCAGGCCACCACGGCCAAGTGGATCCAGAGCTCCGGAGGCAGCACGGCCTGAAAACTCCTGAGTTCTCCAGGCCTCCTAGGAAGAAGCAAAACAAGTTAAAGCTATTAATAAACTCATAAAATTTAAACACACACACACACACGCCCAGCTAGTGAATGGCTGGAACATTTCAAAACATGAACAGGCACAATCTGTTATATTTTATAAAGTGATAAGCATTTTGACAATTCTCCCTGCTTAGAGAAAAATACCATTTATTCCCATATTTATCCTGGCAATAGCAGCATGAGTCACTGTTTGGACGGCCATAGGTGTCTGAGACTTTTTCTGCCCCACTCAGCTGTCGAGCGCCTGCTGGCTGCCGGATGGCCCGTGTTTGGAAATAGCACTGCTAAATTTCCAGCAGCTGACACAGGGGCTCTGCTGCTCACACTCATACGGGCCACGCAAATTAGATTTGAATGTAACATGGACAAGACGAGGGTGGGTTGTGGCTTTCCCATGTGAAACGAGCAACATGATATTCCCATCATCTGGATGGTTTTAGGTTGCGGTGGAATGCATGACCACCACACCAAAGGAAAATCATGCGAGTCTGGGAGGTGAGCAGAGAAAATAACATATGTGCCTCCATCACATCTTTGGAGAGTCTTGAGAAACAGGTGTTAATCCTAACTGTCTCACTCAAACTTGCTGAGGTGGTAGGTTTGAAATTCGGCTTCCAGTATGTGAGTCGTATTAATGAGAAACAGGCAGGAGAGGAGGCAGGTTAAGCTGAAAATGACCAAGGTATTAAATACTGAGTCAACAGCTGAGAGGGAAATAGGGTCCAAGAGTCCAGAATCATCATCCAGCTATTTCCTCGCAATAAAAGATTTGTTCCAGACAAGGAGACGTAGCCAAGCCTCAAACACACCACTGAGAGACATTTGCAGGCAAGTTGGAAGGAGTTGGCCTGGAAAAGGTGCCCTGAGACGAATGAAACTAATTTACTTGCACAAAAGACTTGGAGGCCAGGGAAACTTGGACATGGAATGCTACCTTCCTTCCAAAACCTTCCAGTCCAATCAGCGCACTGCTCCATTACCCGCTGCTCTGTTGAATAATGGCAGTCTTGCTCCAGATTTCTTTCACCAGGAAGAGAAGTGAAGATGTGGGTGGAGCACGTCGGACAGCTTTCCAATTTGATTACTTAAGAGCGTGCTTAGTGGAAGCTCAGCGAAGCTCAGACGCAAGAGATACTCAGATTCCACTGATTTCACAGATCACAGAACAGCACTTAGAGATGTCCTAAATATCTCCTGAAGTTGTCATCCACGTCTCTTCATCCCCCTGCTGCTACCCGGTGAGGCCACCAGCTTCTTTCACCTCAACCACTGTGACAGCTCTCTAGATGGGCCACATGCCTCCAGTCTTATCCTTTAACTCCCACCCTCTGATTTCTTCTTGTTGGCACCAGAGTGACGTTCTTGTAAAAGGCAAATAGGAATGTGTTATTCTTTTGATTAAAATAAATGTAAGGGCTCCTGGCTGCCCTCAAGATTGAGTCCAAACTGATGATCATGGCTGCTATTTACATTTCTTGTAACTGCCTCCAGCATCCCCAGCCTCGGGGGGCAGCCATTCATAATCATAGCCATAGTCACACATACTCCTACTCTCCATCCATTTTTGTCTCTGGTCAACAGACTGCTGGGTTGTCTCCAGGTCTTGGCACTCATCTGTCTCTCTCTCTGTCCCTCTCTCTCTCTGTGTGTCTCTCTCTAAGAAATGCTCTCCTCTGCTGTCTTTTTCCTGCTTACTTCAGACCATGTATTAATCAACAAATCTATACGGAGGACTATGCCTTGCACTGTTCTAGGTACCTGAAGACAGCAGTGAACGAAACAGACCAAGATGCCTGCCCTTCTGTATTCTAAGGGTGGCAGGGGAAAGACAAAGAAGGAAGTAGCAGTAACTTAGTAACTTACATAGAAAGTTAACCAGTGATAGGGGCTACGAAGGAAATACGTCCTTGAGCAGAGAGGGATGCAGCAGTGGCTGTTGGGCTGGTAGATATTTTTATACAGTGCCGAGTTGGGAAAGTCCTCACTGAGATGGTGAAATCTGATGACAACTTGAAGGAGGTGAGGAAGTGAATCATGTGCATTTCTGGGTGAGGAGCATTCCAGGCAGAGGAGACAGTTAGAGCAAAGGTACTAAAACAGGATCATGCCTGGTAAATTCAAGGACCCCTGCTGAACGGACTCAGATGTCTTCTCTTCCTCAGCTCTGTGGGCAAGTTTTCGGACCCACCATTAAAACCTTAGTAATCAGGAAAATACTAATTTTGTTTTAAGATTTTATTTATTTACTTATTTGACAGAGAGAGAGAGAGCACAAGAAGGCGGAGCAGCAGAGGGAGAGGGAGAAGAAGGCTTCCCACGGAGCAGGGAGCCCAATGCAGGGCTCAATGCGGGACTCGGTCCCAGGACTCTGGGATCATGACCTGAGCTGAAGGCAGTCACTTAACTGACTGAGCCACCCAGGTGCCCCAGAAAATACTAATTTTAAAACAGTAAAGGGACTCCATTTTATTTTCGGATTGGCAAAACTTAAGGAATAAAATAAAAGCTGACCCATTCCAAGCTCCAGAGTAGATATGAAGGCAGGGAACAGCTCAGAAATAGCCAGGGGTGGGGCACCTGGGTGGCTCAGGCAGCTAAGCGACTGACTCTTGATTTCCACTCAGGTCATGATCTCAGGGTTGTGAGATCTCTGTGCTGGGCGTGGAGCCTGCTGAAGATTCTCTCTCTTCCCATCTCCCTCTGCCCCTCCCTGCCTTAAACAAAAGAAAGAAAGAAATAGCCAGGGACAGTGTAAGTTAACCCAAACATTTTGGATAGCCGTTTGGTAACATCTAGCAGGAATGAAGAGGCACAACACCCTCCAGCCCTTCAGTTCTATGCCTACATATATAACCTGAAAAAATCCTTGCACATTTGCACAAGACCCATTCAAGAATGCTCACAGCAGCCCTGTTTATAATAGTGAAGAACCGGAAATAGCTTTGCTGTCCATACATAGGTGAATCATGAACATAGACAATATGTTTAAGAGGAATACTACATGGCAGTGAAAATGAACAAACCAGAATATCAAATATCAACATAAGGTCAAAGAAGAAAAAAGCAACTTGCAGAAGGATAGCAACAGAATGATACCATTTAATTTTTTTTAAGATTTTATTTATTTATTGAGATAGAGAGTGAGCACGACCTGGAAGACAGAGGGAGAGGGAGAAGCAGACTCCCCGCGGAGCAGGGAGCCTGATGCAGGACTCGATCCCAGGACCCCGGGATCATGACCTGAGCCGAAGGCAGACGCTTAACCAACTGAGTCACCCAGGCACCCCATAGAATGATACCATTTAGATGAAACTTAAAAACAAGCAAAATAGCACTGCATGTTGTTCAGAGTTATGTAGTAAAAGTAAACGTGCACAAGGATGATAAACATCAAATGCAGGATAGTGGTTATTTCTGGGGATTTAAATTTTTATTTCTTAAGATGAGTGCCAGGTACACAGAAATTCATTATGTTATTATCTGTATTTTTTGTATGCCCAAACTATTTGATGACTTTTTTAAGATTTTATTTGAGAGAGAGAGTACATGCATGCGTGGGCATATGCGCTTTAGTGAGCAAGGGGAGGAGCAGAGGCAGAGGGAGAGGGAGAGAATCTCAAGTAGACTCCGCCCTGAGCGGAGCTGACGCGGGGCTCGATCTCATGACCCTGAGATCATGACTTGAGCCAAAACCAAGAGTCAGACACTGAACTGGTTGAGCCACTCAGGGGCCCAAAAACTTTTTTTTTTTTTTAATTAAAAAGATCTTGCACTCCTCTGCAGCATAGCAAGCTACTTCTCTGCAGGTTTCCGTGATTTGGGACTGCACAGCACAAAAAGCAGGGGCTGGGGACTGCAATCTCCCTTGGTGTCTGGTGACAGGTATTAAAAAAGAAAAGTAAAGGCCTCTCCTGATGGCAGTTCAAGTATCAGTGGTTGGGATTTAATGAGACCTTTTCTGCTCCCCCTCTATTACCTCTCACATTACATTCAAAATCTCAGGCTTCAGGTAGTAAGCATTTGTGTTGTGATCAAAATGAATAATCAAGTTTAAGGGCACTGAAATGGTGTGCCTTTCACCCACTCCTACCGATGGCACACACAGCGCCACTCAAATGTCACTTGAGACCCTTCGAGGATCAAGGGAAAGTCCAGTCCATGAACCTAAAACTCCTTAACCCCTTGAATGACGGAGTTTGGGAAGGGAATGGGCAGTGGGGAATTGTAGCACTGCTCAGACTGATGGTTAACTATTCTTATTTATACTTTATAAAAGAGGACTGGAGTGGACACTTGCTGTCCAGGATTTTGAGAAGCTTCCTGTTAAGGCTGGGACTGATGGTAACCATCTTGGCCACCATACTGGTAGAGCCTGAATGGGAGTCAACACAGCAGAAAGCAGAGCCAAAAGACGGCAGGTCACATCTTTGCTGGCCCTACTTAAGCACGTGTATCCAGGTGCACCTGACCATAACTGAGGACCGTTCCATTTTTTTTTTTTTTTTTTTTTTTAGAGAGAAAGAGAGTGAGCACAAGTAGGAGGGGGGGCAGAGGGAGACGGAGAGAGAAAAATCTTAAGCTCCACTGGGTGTGGAGCCCAGCGTGGGGCTCGATCTCACAACCCTGAGATCATGACCTGAGCCAAGATCAAGAGTCAGACACTTAACTGAATGAGCCACCCAGGCGCCCCCAGACAGTTCAATTTTTAAGCTGGCACATTTCCTTTTGCTGAAGCCACATGGAAACAAACTTACAGCTTAGCAATCAAAAAGGAGTCCTAAGGTAGGGCTTAAAAATGTTTCCAGGAGCGTCTGGGTGGCTCAGTCGGTTAAGCCGCTGCCTTCTGCTCAGGTCATGATCCCGGGGTCCGGGGATCGAGCCCCGCATCGGGCTCCCTGCTCAGCGGGAAGCCTGCTTCTCCCTCTCCCTCTGCCTGCCTCTCTGCCTACTTGGTTCTCTCTCTCTGTC